ATGTCAATAATATATATGTCAATCATTTTTAAATATGAATTTGTATGCATACTGTAAGTTAATAAATGTATTCTTTTTTGTATTTATTTTTCCAAACAGATACATTTCCTTTACAATAAAAACAAATAACATATTGCATAAATAATTTTAAAATATGAATATATATGATATATCTACACCAATACGTATTAAGAAAATGTTTGCCAATGCCACAGCCTTGCGTTTGAAATGTAAAAAGATAAAGGTACATTCATTCATTGTTTTTGGGACTGTGACAAAATTTTGCCATTTTGGAAGAAAATACACAATCTATTTGAAAAGTATACTTAAGCAAAATTTTGATACGACTACAGCTTTGTATTTATTGTACCTTAATGCAAACAGTCTGTTTGAAAAAGATGCATTACAGTTATTTACTGTCCTGGTATGTTTAACTAAAAAAAAATAAAAAATCTGCATCAAAAGCTCCATCTTTCAAAATGTGGATATCATGAATTGCTACATGGCTAACATTAGAAAAAACTTACATATGACAAACAAAAAAATTGGACAGATTTTGGTCAATTTGGTCTCCCCGTTGGGAAGATTCCTTGTTATTGATTTACAAATTTTTGTTTAATCTCCACTATAAGACTGCTCTAAAATGGTGTGATTGTACTTTATTTTTATCCATTTATTAATTTTTTTATATTAATTTCTTTCTTATTTTCAATTTTAAGACTGTAAACTCATTTATACATTTATACATTTTCACATTAATATTTTGTGAATATGGGCATACAATATATTAAAAGAGATTTCTTCAACACATTTCTAAACATAATAGTTTAATAACTCATTTCTAACAACTGATTTCTTTTATCTTTGCCATGATGACAGTAAATAAATATCTAGTATTTTACTAGATATTTTTCAAGACACTTCTATACAGCTTAAAGTGGCATTAACTAGGTTAATTAGGTTAACTAGGCAGGTTAGGGTAAATAGGCAAGGTATTGTATAATGATGGTTTGTTCTGTAGACTATCAGAAAAAAATATAACTTAAAGGGGCTAATTATTATGACCTTAAAATGGCTTTTAAAAAATTAAAAGACTGCTTTTATTCTAGCCGAAATAAAACTATTAAGACTTTCTCCAGAAGAAAAAATAATACCAGACATGCTGTGAACATTTTTGGTAAACATCATTTAGCAAACATTTAAAAAAGAAAAAAAAATCAAAGGGGGGCTAATAAATCTGACTTCAACTGTATGTCATTGTATAATCTTGTATGCTTGTCTGTATATGCTTTAATAAAATAAATAAATAAATAAATAAATAAATAAATAAATAAATAAATAATATAGCATTAGCTACAATTCTGCATAGAGTAGGAAAAATATAAGTGTCATTCCTACAATTCAGAGCCATTTCAGGGTAGTAACTGTCCGTGACAAAATGTTACATTTTCCAGGATTTTATTATTTCAGTTGAAGGAGTACTTATTAAATATACTGGTCCAGCTCAGGATATTACGGTTTAGCAATTTTTACAGAATTTTAACACAGGCCAAATGTCCCCCTGTTCCATGCAATATTATTTATTAAATGGTATTTCTAAATGGATGCAGTGCAATATTTAAGCAAAACAATAACAGGGTGGACAGTAACAAGAGTGACATTTCTTGCAAAACTCAGCCATTTACTTATATGGTGAATAACGAGTTAGCACATGATGATCTGAAGAAGATTTGAAACATGTTTATTAACTGTATTTCTCAAAATTACAAAAAAAGTAAAAAATTAAATAGTTTCCTCTATAAAATGGGTAACAAGGTGGACGTAATATGCTTTACCACAACAGAAAACGTCTTTGAAATGTTGAAAATAAAAGAAGATAAAAGAGACTAACTGCTTCTTGTAGACAATTTCTCTCCATAATTGTGAGAATTCTTGAGAACGATGTGACTAGAGGAGCAATCACTGGGCATTTTTATGGGGATTATAATTCAAGTAACGAGGGGACATTCATTTCAGAGACACACATTTATATTTTATATAAACATTTTATTAATATATTGGAATCATTTTAACAAATATAGTATTAGGTGAGATGTGTATATATATATATATATATATATATATATATATATATATATATATATATATATATATATATATATATATATATATATATATATATACACACAGTTGAAGCCAGAATTATTAGCCCCCCTTTGATTTTTTTTTCTTTTTTCAATATTTCCCAAATGATGTTTAACAGAGCAAGGAATTTTTCACAGTATGTCTAATAATATTTTTCTTCTGGAGAAATTCTTAATTGTTTTATTTTGCCTAGAATAAAAGCAGTAATTAATTAAAAAAAACATTTTAAGGTCAAAATTATTAGCCCTTTTAAGCTATATTTTTTAGATAGTCTACAGAACAAACCATCATTATACAATAACTTTCCTAATTACTCTAACCTGCCTAGTTAACCTGATTAACCTAGTTAAGCCTTTAAATGTCACTTTAAGCTGTATAGAAGTGTCTTGAAAAATATCTAATAAAATAATATTTTCTGTCATTATGGCAAAAATAAAATAAATCAGTTATTAGAGATGAGTCATTAAAACTATTATGTCTAGAAATGTGTTGAAAAAAATCTGCTCTCCATTAAAAATATATATAAATGACAACATAAAATCAATGAAAAGTGTAGTATTAATTAGATTTTTCTAAGTTATATTTGTAACTGAACATGAGCATACATGACCTGGGACATGGCAATTCAGCTACTTGCATGGAATTAGAGTAATTACTTTAAATGTAATTTATTTTTGTGCACATATCATTATGTCTTATTCTGGAAATTGGATAATCCTATCAGACAGGCTTTAATGATTTTTTATTGCATTTTTAAATATTCTGTACCATATCATGCCTTGGGGACAAAAATCGTCACCTTGGAATCATAAGGTTCTATCTGCGTTCTGAATGTGCGTAACATTTTTTTTTTTTTTTTTTTTTATAAAAAATCTTAAAATGTAAAAAAAAAACATCCCATAATATAAACAAGTTGTTTTAATAAAAATATGTTAATTAATAAATTTTGACAAAAATGTCAGAGAACCTTAAAATTCGAAATGGCACCAAATAGGAGTGATGCAACAATAGAAATGAAATATAATTATATATAACAAATAAATAAATAAATAGCATTATAATTCTATTAAAAACATTTTTACAGCGTTAATGAGTTTATACAAGAATCTTTTCATTAATGCTTAAGAACACAAAAGAGTGTGATTACACTATTGCTAATCAATCATACAGTAAATAAAACAAGCATTCAACATGCATTAAAAGGTTCCATCACCTTGCATAGATGAATTAATTAACCTCAATAACATTTTAATTTATGATGATAGGTTAGAGGCGAGGCAGTGGCGCAGTAGGTAGTGCTGTCGCCTCACTGCAAGAAGGTCACTGGGTCGCTGGTTCAACCTCGGCTCAGTTGGCGTTTCTGTGTGGAGTTTGCATGTTCTCCCTGCCTTCGCGTGGGATACCTCCGGGTGCTCCGGTTTCCCCCACAGTCCAAAGAACATGCGGTACAGGTGAATTGGGTAGGCTAAGTTGTCCGTAGTGTATGAGTGTGTGTGTGTGTGTGAATGTGGGTGTGGATGTTTCCCAGAGATGGGTTGCGGCTGGAAGGGCATTCGCTGTGTAAAAGCTTGCTGGATAAGTTGGTGGTTCATTCCGCTGTGGCGACTCCGGATTAATAAAGGGACTAAGCTGTCAAAAAAATGAATGAATGAATGAATGATAGGTTAGACGATTATGAAATTAAATTTACATTTTTTATTATTAAAAAAAGCCATTGATTTTAAATTCAGTGTACACACATGTATTGTAGACAAAGATCTTCTTTTTTGGCCTTAGTCCAGTATGGTTGCAGGGTATGCTCTTTGGAACAAGCCATTTTAGACTTGTCCATATGATAACGACTTTTTTTTTTAAATTCCGGCCGGCCTGTCATCTGGGCCTGTCACCCTCATACACTCATACACTATGGACAATTTAGCCTACCCTATTCACCTGCAGCATGTCTTTGGACTGAGTGGGAAACCGGAGCACCCGGAGGAAACCCACGCAAACACAGGGAGAACATCAAACTCCTCACAGAAATGCCAACTGAGCCGAGGTTCGAACCAGGGACCTTCTTGCTGTAAGGTGACAGCACTACCTACTGCGCCACTGCTTTGCCCATATATATAAAAAATACTGCATTGGTAGATTAGCTTGTCAAATGGTGACTACACTTTTTGATGTACCAAAATATATCCTGCAATTTTGTCCAAGGACTTACAATACTATTTGACTATAAGCATGTATTTACTAATGTGCATTTAAACTTTAAGTTATTAGAGTTTTAAAAATAATGTTATAAGATTAGCATTTAATGTTTTAAATTAAGACTGTAGCCTACAGGCAAATAACAAATTGGCCAGCTGATTCAGTTTTCCTCAGTCAGTATTTGGTCATTTGAATAATTAAAAATTAAATTAGTCTTAAAGCCTTCTTCTTTCAGTTATGTCCACAATATATGATGGCTTAGTAGTAAAAATGAGACAAATCAGACAAATTGAGACAAATGAGACAAATTCTGGACTTTGTCACGGGGGGTCTTTCGAATCACCTGAACCCCCCCTGGCTACGGGCCTGCTTTTTAACGTAAACTTGACATTTGTAACATTTGTCATACCAATAAAGCAATTATCGAATTTAATTAAACATGGTCAGGAAATTAAAAATGCACTTTATATTTCCAAACAAAACTACATACGTATGGAGGACGAAACCTGCAAAAACAATTTAAAAATATGCAAATATATAAATAAATGAGTAAATAAATCCATAAATTCCTGCATAAATAAAATAATAAATGAATATGCTAAATAAATAAATGAATGCATATAAAAATTCACAAATTAACAATACATAAATAAATATATAAATAATTAATAGTGCGAGCAGGTAAATATATACATAAGTGTCTCCCCCCAACCCCCAGGAATTTATGGATTTATTTAGTCATTTATTTATATATTTTTGTATTTATTTATTTATCTACTTATTTTTTTGTTGTTTTTGTAGGTTTCGTTCTCCATATATACTTAAAGGGAGAGAAATAACTGATATTTATTCAATATTGGGCTAATACAAGATTTTCACCTCTAGAGGGAGCCACACCTGCTATTTTAAAATCTGTCCCAAATCTGATTGCGTTAAAAATGCGCTGAGTAGATTGAAAACTGATTTGATGAATTAAAAAAAATGTATTATGTAAATAAAAGGCTTGTATATGGGCTGTTTTACGAGATTTAAATGATGCCTGATAGAACGTCATAGGTTTGAAGGCACGCGAACGTTCTAAAAGAATGTTGACATCATTGCGGCCATTCCACGGCGAACAGAGTTACATAGCATTTGACAGTCGCTCCTTATCGCTTGTTAAATCCAGTTTGTCGGTGTTTTTGTGATATAATCTTCACTCCACTTTCTCAACATGTGGTTTAACCGTCAATCCGTGCCACGATCTCCAGAACATCGAGATGTGAGCTCCTCTAAGCGTCAGATGAACGTTTTAGTGAAAAGTGTCAGCTACTTTTTACCCTTGTCTGATCTGAACGCCAACGCTGAGTGTCCCTCGTCTGATCTGCCCCATTCCTGGAGCAGCTCAGTGAGGATGGACACAAGTGTGCCTCCCCATCAGCATCCTGAGGTTGTACAGGTATGCTCAAACCTGACTCTGAAGCTGCGCCATGTTCCAGTGAAACCTGCTGTGAAGCAGAAGTTCACTGATGGCCATGGGCTTCCAAAACGTCCAGGAGTGAGGTCTCTTAAACATATGATGGAGGTTTCACTGGAAGACATCAGCTATTTTTCATGTGAGCCTGACCTGAATGCCACCGTTGACCATTTCTCATCTCCTCCGCCCCATTCTGAGAGTCGAGAAGTGAGAATGGATAAAGGTACACCACGCTCAAAACTGCCTGTTCTGAAGTCAAAGTGTGTTCCTGTGAAGCCTGTCAACCAGCAGAGTTTCACAGATGAACCCTCAGACAGGCAGGGTGTGAATCATTTGAAGAAAGGTACAGTGAAAAACATCAACTCTTCATATAAATCTAACCTTACTGTCAGTGTTGCCCCTTGCTCATTTTTTGTGCCTCTTTCAGGGAGCCATTCAGTGAGAATGCATAAACGTATGCCTCTCCGTCATCATCCTGTTGCTCCACGCTCAAAACTGCCTGTTCTGAAATCAAAGTGTGTTCCTGTGAAGCCTGTCGACCATCAGAGTTTCACAGATGAACCCTCAGAATGGCTGGGCGTGGGGTCGAATCCTATGATGAAAGGTACAGTGAAAAACATCAACCCTTCATGTGAGTCTCACCTCATTGTTGCCCCTTGCTCATTTTTTGTTGCCCTTTCAGCGAGCCAACCAGTGAGGATGGACAATCGTACACCTCTCCGCAAGCATTCTGTTGCTGGACTCTCAAAACTGCCTGTTCTGAAGTCAAAGTGTGTTCCTGGGAAGCCTGTCAACCAGCAGTGCTTCACAGATGAACCCTCAGAATGGCTGGGCGTGGGGTCTTGTGAGCATCAGGTGAAAGTTTCGCTGGAAGATCCTCCATGTGAGTCTGACCTGAATGTCAGTGTTGAGTGTTCCTCATCTATTCTGGCAGCGAGAGTAGGCAAATCCCAGCATCCAGTTTTGAGGCCACGCTGTGCTCCTGTCAAGCTTTTGGCTGGACAGAAGTGCACTGACGAGGCTCCAGAACGTCAAGCGTCCAGGTTTCCTCCTTTAGTGAACAAGGCAGAGAGGAACGGCACTGACCCTTCATGTGGGTCTGATTGGAAAATTAAGCCTCACCTTTCCTTACCCAGCCTGCCACCTCTTACAAGTGGATTGCCTGCTCTGAAACCAGCTCATGCTCCTGTGCGACCTGCTCTTCCTTCAAACTTCATGTTTTTTCCATTTGATGATGAGGATGTCAAGATGAAGAGGGCTCGCTCAGTAAAAAGAAGCCCTAGTCTGCTTTCAAGACTCCACTCTGCAACCTATTTTTAGGATTATTCTTGTTTTTTTGTGTCAATAAATGTTGTCATGCTTAAAATGTATTCCCTGTGTGCTGTTATTCTTTATTTAAATGCTTATTTGTGTATTAATCAGTTATTTGAGGATTAAGGAAAGTCAGATTTTTGTGGGTCAGAAAAAATTTCAACTTGCTTTAAAAGGTTCCATCACCTTGCATAAAATAATAAATTGATCTCAGTAACATTTTATTTATGATGATTGGTTTGACAAATTATGAAATGAGCTTTACATTTTCTTTTTTCATTATTTAAAAGCCATTGATTTGAAAGTTTGTGTATTCACATGTATTATACACAAATATTAAGTTTTAACCACTTGCAATATGTCAGCCTGTTAAACAGACAGTAGATCAAAATAAACCCAAATATCATTCATTCATTCATTTTCTTGTCGGCTTAGTCCCTTTATTAATCTGGGATCGCCACAGCGGAATGAACCGCCAAATTCCAAATATCAAATAAATAAAATAAAAATACCTTTATTTGTCCAAAGGTAGCAAAATACATCTATTAATGTGTAAGTTTAGTAAAGTGAGTGGTTAAATTGGTCTCTTTTTGTCTCCTCTGGGTTTCTAAAACAGCTTGGAATTTGAAGTGACTCACAACAGACATAAAGAGATTCCATTTTTCAATAAAACATTTGCAATAGATTACTTATGTTTGTTTAAATGTTAAATATATAAAACAGTGGGGGGTCCCCCACAGTCCAAAGACATGCAGGTGAATTGGGTAGGCTAAATTGTCCGTAGTGTACGAGTGTGAATGATTGTGTATGGATGTTTCCCAGAGATGGGTTGCAGCTGAAAGGGCATCCGCTGCATAAAAACATATGTTATATAAGTTGGCGGTTCATTCCGATGTGGCGACCCCAGATTAATAAAGGGACTAAGCCGAAAAGAAAATAAATGAATGAAAACTGAGAGTAATTCTCAATAGTTTTGGCCAATGCAAACAATTATTTTTCATGAGTGCAACATCCAGCTGCTGGAAAACACACAATCTGACATGAGAGAAGTCCTCTTTCACTACTGTATTGTTTTTAAATAGAGAAAACAGTTTACATGTTTTATTCTAAATCTTGGGCCTTACTCTTAAAAGAGAAAAAACGAGCAATAAAAAGATGTGAAGTACCAAACATATTAAAATAAATTTAAATACTAATTTGGCGATTGCTGTTATTCATGAAATTTCAAATGCACTTTTTTTTTTTTTTTTTTACAAGAGAGGCTATTGTAAAGCTACATTATTATTGTTATTTTTATTCAAATGGTCAAATTCTGACCGAGGAAAGTTGAATGTGCTGGCCAGTTTGTTATTTATAATTTGCCTAAATGACAATAGGCTGGTTTTTAGTGAGAAACTGTTTTATAAATGTTTTCTAAAAATTATATGTTGTAATTTATGTGTGATTGTGCTTTTTCATATTTTTTTATTTATAGTTAATCTTTAGTAAGCCATCCGACAAGCTAATTCAGCTAAAAATAGTGCTTAAAATGTAACGAAATCTCATAATTAAATAGAAAATGAAATTGCAAAAAAATTCCACTTTTTAAGAAACAAAAGAACCATCCCTTTCACCGGGCTGGCTACAGGTCCGTTTTATGATTTCACACTATCATGTTTTCAATGTTAGGGGACAAAATCCGCTAAAAGTAGCTGATCATCTTAAACCAACTCTAATATTTGACATTATCGTGTTTGACAAATCTTAATGAACAAGATCCTCAAAGTAACAGCGCACAACAGAATAAAATAAGAATGATATTTTTCATTCATTCACTAATTTTCCTTCAGCTTAGTCCCTTTATTCATCAAGGGTTGCCACAGCGGAATGAACCGCCAACTTATCCAGCATATGTTTTACACATGATGCCGTTCCAGCTGCAACCCAGTGCTGGAAAACATCCACACACACTTAATGATATTGTAATTCAACAAAATTTAGATGTTAAGCCACCATCAGTTGTCAAAGAATTGTTTTATAGAAAAAATACTGACAATTATATAGGCTTATTAAACTAATTACTAATACAATTTATTAAATTATATTAATAAACACGGTTTTAGTTTCTAGTATGGCAAAAGCAGCTATTAAAACTCAGCAAATGCGTCTTCAAATAATCTGGACGCCGTTTTATCCTTTTACCACAGGGTGGCCTACTTAAACCACACTGTTAAGCGCTGGGTTCCACACAATGGATTTGTGTTAGGACAACATGAAGCAATAAAGTTAAATTATAAGTTTGCAAGTTTAAGTGGATTAAACATAAAACAATTAAGTTGTCCGAGAAAAAAAAAAAAAACTAAAGAGGGCCTTAAGCTGTAAAAACACATTAAAGGAAGAAAACTTTAGTTAGAAAGTAGATATTGCCCACACTATTTAGTGCATACTTTATTCCTTTTGGTATTTTAAAGCATGTTTTACCGAAAAGCAATTCTCCCAGAAGTAAAACAGCGAATCCCAGAGTGGCATACACTGTAAATAATGTTGCACAGCAACATTTACTCAGTTTAGATAGTATTTGGTCCCTCTCTAAATTAAGTTAAATTTACTCAAGTTAATGAGACAATGAAATGATTAATTAGGTGATGATTAAGCACTGATGATGAACACCTGCTGTTAATAAACAAAAACACAGAGGAGAAACACAGAACTACAACCAACTTCAGTCACAGCCTTAGATGAAATCAGCTGAACTACACTGAATCTCTCAAAATCTCAGCAGAGGATCAACTCCACAACTCCCTAAACAGCAGTTTTACTTATTACAAGGGCCAGATGAAATCTGCGTAACTATAACTAAAACCTAAATATAGGAACTATAAAGTAATACCTTTTTAGCTTATATTTCATGTTTACAATGCAAATCCAATTATATCCACTTTATTTGGTAAACAAAGCAAGTCTCTCATATATCTACTAAGAGCTTTATTGTATATGAACATTTGCATATTAGTCAATAATATTACTGAAATTAATTTGAAAACGGAATAAATATAAATGTACACACATTTACACAAGTAAACAAACTTGTGTATATATGACGAGTAAATAAATGATGGGCTAAAAATCCGCGGAAATCTGCAGAATTGTGCGTGCGCAGATTCCGTGTGGGCCTACTTATTACCAACCTGTTTGCCCTTATGTAAAGAGGGACCAAATACTGTCTGAACTGAGTAAGTTTTGCTCGGAGGATTTTGCTGTGTGGGTTCCACATAATTCCTTCATGTTGTCCCAACACAAATCGATTAAGTTAACTCAATTGTTTTCACAAATTTAAGTTGATCCAACATAAAACAATCAAGTTGTCCTAAAAAAATTCAAGAATTGTGTTGAATAAGTTGATTTTAAATTAGTATGAACAACTGGCACATTTTATTTTTTGAGTGTATGTGCAAAACATCTTCATGCGAGTAGCTTTTTTCTGTATTAGATTACAACGAAAACACAATGACCCCATTCAGCCTTTGGCCTCTTGAATGTACACACTTTGATTGTGATATTTTTGAGGACACGGTCTTCCTTCTGTCCTCCAGCACCAAAATCACCAAAGAAAACCACAACATCATCAGTTTTCTACATATTAGTTTATTTCATCCAAGATTTGACTATAATACATGTGCATCTATGCCTTAATATAGTATTTATCCTTTTAAAAGTTTCATTATGTGAAACAAATTTACATCACGTAGCACTAATAAGAAAATACTGACAATTTCAGTACAAATCTATACCTTAGGATTTATCTGGCAAGCTCATTATCAAAAAGAGAAATTGACACATGAATGATAATGCTTAAAAGCCCATTTCTACACTTTCAGAAATGCAGAGATATTCACAGTTTGGAAAGTAGCAAGATAATCATCATCGTTCCTAAAGGTCTGAGCATTAAGTTCCACCGAAGACGCTAGTGGAAAGGAAATTTAAAACACCATTTCAAAGAGATGATCTAAAATAATAATAAACAAAAACAATCTTGAGGTTTTTTTATGTCATCTAAAAACAAAAAGGAGTAAAAATACACAAGTCTATCTTTAAAATAAATACAACTTCTGTGGTTACAATCCCAAATCGTATGTAGTGGTTAATATAAAAATAAATTAACACAGCTAATGACTCCATTCAACATGTCGTTTGTACCGAAAGAATGAATGATGAAGTGATCACAGCTACAGTGTGTGTGTGTGTGCTACTACTCTGAGCAGGTTTTGGTAAAGTAAGTGCCATGAAAAGCTCTGTGTGAAGGGTAGACGACGTCTCTTCAGCATTTATAAAGGGGAGACAATGAAAGGCTACTTCGGCTAAATCTCTGACAGAACTGTAAGAGCGTAGGCACGTCTGTCTCCTGTCCGTCACGTCCAGTGCATCTGCTGACGCTGATCTTAAGAGGTCAGATTGAAGCAGTGACATCATGAATATCATTATGATATGTATGTACGTACAAAAGGGGGAGAAATGTACCTACACGGTCATATGGAATGTTTTGAATGGTACATATGTTCATCTTGAAATCACTCATGAAGGTCCCGCTTTACTTTATACAGAGAGCTGGATGACATTCACTTTTATCCCAGACTGAACAGAAGGTGTTGACGCTGACATTTCAGCCAGTTGAATTTCAAAATAAAAAAAAGAAAAAGAAAAGATGAAAGAGAAATCTACAAAGGCCAAATCATGCCTGTCTCCTAGTAATGCTGAAACGAACCCCATTGTTACATAACTTCTGAAGGGTTTGGCTGGTATGCTGCTGCTGATGTAAGAGGGAAAGATATTGAATACTTTGGCAGATATTCAATATTCATTGGGATTCAACAATTACTATGAATCAAGTGTTGTTTTCTCCATGATTTGTTTGCAACGCATCTTGTTATAGAGGCAACGCTTTAAAATAAGGTTCAGTTTATTAATATTCATTTACACCTTATGGATCAAGAATCATAAATTAACAGCAATAAAAAAATCCAGGTTACTGTTCATTTTTAAATAAGTTATTGGTTATAATATGGAACCTAATGTCAAGTTGAAATATTTATGTAGAAATTAGCTTAATTTATTATGGTTTGTTTATGATGTCTAATGAATTAAATGAATAGTTTGCCTAAAAATATATATTTTAAGTTATTGTTATCCTGATGAAAAAAAAAGTCATTTGTGTTCATCAGCCTATCAGTTTCTGGATATCAAAAACTGAGTTATCCCTAGGGCTGTGCGATATGATGATATATACACTCACCGGACACTTTATTAGGTACACCTGTCCAACTGCTCGTTAACCCATTTTTCTAATCAGCCAATCACATGGCAGCAACTAGACATGGTCTGGACCATCTGCTGCAGTTCAAACAGAGCATCAGAATGGGGAGGAAAGGTAATTTAAGTGACTTTGAACGTGGCATGGTTGTTGGTGCCAGACGAGCTGGTCTGAGTGTTTCCAGAAATCTACTGGGATGTTCTGATGGCTACTTCCAGCAAGATAATGCTTTAATGTCATAAAGCGCGAATCATCTCAGACTGGTTTCTTGAACATGACAATGAGTTCACTGTACTCAAATGGCCTCCACAGTCACCAGATCTTTATCCAATAAAGCGTCTTTGGGATGGTGGAATGGGAGATTCGCATCCCAAATGTGCAGCCAACAAATCTGCAGCAACTGCGACATGATGCTATTATGTCAATATAGACCAAAATCTTTCCATATTAAATACTGGAATATTTACAGTACCTTGTTAAATCTATGCCACGAAGGATTGAGGCAGTTCTGATGGCAAAAGGGGATCCAACCCGGTACTAGTAAGGTGTACCTAATAAAGTGGCCAGTGAGTCTAGTGTGTCACAAAATACATCGTTTATGGTAATACTTTTTCATGACTTATAAAGCGCAATATTACATCCTATTCTGGGGATGCAGAGAAAAAAATATATAACAGTATTATGAAAAAGGTGCCATCTTGAAAGTACAATGTTTATATTTAGCATTTTATTTAGATTTTTCTATGTTGGGCCTGTAATCATTAGTTTTTGAAAAAGTGTTTTATATTATTTGAATATTAATTTAATATTTCTATATTTGCCTTGAAGTTCTAAATAAACTGAGAAATATGATCAAATTTAAATGACAATGTTTTGTGTATATACTTTAAAATATTTCTATAAAGTCTTTTACATTTGGTCTACATAGATAAACTATTAAATGTATTAAATATATATCATAATTTATATTGTTATCATGAGATGACTTCTATGACGTTCTATCGTATTAGCCAACAGTTCCATATCGGTATTTGTTCAGTCTACAGGCATGCGCGAGTACTAGACAACCAATACAAAAATAGCAGACTACTGGACCACAGGAGTTTTTCGTTACAAAAATACATCGCCACCTACTGGTCTGGTCTGTATAATACAGCATATTTAGTCGCGTTCTCAAATTTACATGAACAGGAACCATTTTGACTTTAGCACACAGTTACTGTGTAAACATTTTCCGGCTTTTGACAACACCATAACATTTCTGTTCCACAGAAGCAAGAAAGTCAAGCAGGTTTGGAACAACATGGTGATAAGTAAATATTACCCGAAATGTCATTCTCATCATCTCTTTAACATACGTAAACAAACTGAACCTTACTATAAAGCGTCATGACGGAGACACTCTTCATACATGAAACGGCCTAGTGTTCACGTCTGAGTGCTCTTCTCTGAAACATGATGATGTGCTCCCAAGCCCCAGACAGGGTTATCAAGTAGCGCTCAATGGGTAAAATAAACCACAGGTAGCAGAGAGCAGGATGATAGCCCTTGTCATTAAAAAAACACAAACATAATAACTCGTACAAATCAAACGTAGCAGTATGAAAAATATGACATTAATCATCTGTCTTTTTGGCTATGATTAAAAATCTTGAAATAATAACAGACATCTTAACCGAGGCAGCAGTCTACTGATCAAGCGAAAACCTTGACTCGAGCCTCACAATTGTTCGCGATTCCCTTGACAACCTTGAAGAATCGGTAAGCCGAGAGTTAGTGTTGCAGACAGGAATAAATGAAGAGCGCTCTCTTCTGAAGCCCATTGTACTTTGTTCTCCATTATAACGGCAGAAGGGAGTGGTTGTAAAGTAAAAAAAAGGAAAAAAAAAAAGATTGTCATGACTCATATACTGCAGAGTCTCTATGTTCCTTCAATTCGCACTGACTCAGGAAGTTCATTATTACTCAAGAAGCAGCTATTTTTGGTGACTACCTGGTCCTGTGGTTACAGAGAAGTGCTGTAAGGTGCTGTGGTGACCGCTTTGGTCACCTAAAAATAAAGACATGCATTATCAGTCCTATGGCACACAAGAGTGTGTATTGGCATGTGTGAGCGGTTATTACAGTGTAATGACTGTTCCGTCTTCTTCTAGATTACGCCTTTCGTGGGCGTTCAGAGACCCTACGCTTGTGCTGGTCGCCATTGTACCGTTTGAGGGCCGTAGGTCGAGGTGAGGCTCGTATCTGGGCAGAACAGGCATGCTGGAGCTGGCGGTCGCTCGAACCTTTGCTGGCGGGATGAGTTTGGCCCCTCTATCCGCCTCGATCACCAGATCCTCCTCGTCCTCACTCTCTTCATCCGGCTCAAAGTTCTGTATAATATGAGAAGGAGTCATGGACGTGGAGCCTGGCACGGAGTAACCATGGAAGCTGGTGCTGCTGTCTGAAGATCGTCCTGAGCTGCCAGATGTGGCCCCACCGCCGCTGCTTCGTACTATGTTATTGCGCTGATTGGCCGGTTTGACCGTTATAATGAGGTTGTGGCTGTTAGCGATCATCATGTCCGTTACCTGGTCCAACGACTTGCCGCTCACCTCAATGCCATTGACTTCGAGCACCTCATCATTGACGGCCAGCAGTCCCGTGCTCTCCGCCAGGCCTCCGGGGACCATGCGGGAAATGAAGATGCCTGGGACCTTCTCCAAGCCTTGGGGTGTAACACGAACGCTGGATCCGTCCCGGATGTAGAAGCCCAGAGGTTTCTCCTGGCCATGTTTATAGAGACGGACGCGGCGGTGAGTCTCTGGAAGAATGTCCACATCGATGATGGAGGACACTGGGCGGAAGTCTTTGGGCAGGCTGATGATGATTGGAGGCTTCTTCTTGTTGGTGTCCGGCCGAAGGAGGACTGCTGCGAGGGCCGCCGGGGTCTTCTTACGGGTCACAGTGTCTGTGCCGAACGCTGAGTAATCGGCCTCCTCTGGAGAGAGAGAGAAATGTAAGGCTTATGTTAGGTATTGTAATTTATATAAATAATGTGAATTGAAAAGAAATTGTGTTCAACATCAACAGAAAAATAAATCATTTAAATTGATATAGTTAAAATGTACACTTAATATAAGGTAAAAAAATGGTTTATTAACTAAGTGCCAGTATATTACTAAATGTCAACAACCCTTTAAAATTTTTTTTGTAAAGTTACATAATTTAATAACAATACATAACCAAATGCACATAATATAACTTGATATAATAAAAAAACTTAAACATTTTAAATCACTTTAATTTATTTAAAATACATTAAAATGTGAAAATAAAAATTAAATATAGCACAATATCAACACAATGTCAATTTTATTATCATTTAAATATAATCATATAGGAGTAAATGTAAATATTCCCTTGGATCAACAGTGAGTTTGTCAGGTTGAGTTGTTTGTTTATGTATTTTATTTAAACATGTAAACAAATGGTTAATTAAAGGGCAAATTATTTTACCCCTTTTTCAAGATTTAAGATAAATCTTTTATGTCTCCAGAATGCGTCTGTAACGTTTTAGCTCAAAAACACCCATCGGATTATTTATTAGACCTTTTAATATTGGAATTCTCAGCTTTGAACACATTGTAGCTGTTTTTTGCCTGTGCCTTTAATGCTAGTTCTCCCCATCCACCGTTCCCATGTGCCTGTCAGAGTGTGCTTCAATCTCTGCCTCGGCTACGTCAGATAAACAGTACAGTGACGGACATGAAGGAAGCAGATCTCACGAAACATTTGTGAGAAATATTACAGTAAGAACTTTACCAATGATTATTTGATGTAATTGTTGTGTAGTTAATTCAAGCCTTTCCGCAACAATAAGTCACACCCAATATCGTTAGAAAATTCATACACACACACATACACACATACACGCACACACATACAAATATGACAGGTAACACGTTTTTATCCACTGCTGTATTGATATTCATTATGTTAATGTATAAAATAAACATGACTTAATGTCCACAAACCGTATTGAAGTGTCAGCTTTTATTATTGTACTAACATGCAGCTGTGGCAATAAAGACGATAAAACCACTGTAATTCATTAGAAACATTATTTTAAAACGTTTTAAACTTGTAAACTTGTGAGATGCTGCTGATCACAGACAGCTGAACAGATCTTTTAATCCCAGTTGCTTTGTGGACATCCTGTTCTAGTTGACATGAATATGTGCGTCACTAAGGAGGAATGTTAATACACGGCTGTCAATCAATTTGGTGAGCGAGAAAACCACACTCCTACATCACGGTGGACCTTAAAATGGGAGGGATTTAGATACTATTTTAATGTCAGGAAATTTAAAAAAAGAGGTTTATTGTTTTATATCAGCCCAATATGACTGTGGACACACTATACTTACACACAGTTCTGTCCAAACAGCTTCCAATATATGATTTTCATCATAGGTGCCATTTAAAATCACTTTGTTGATTTAAATACATTAAAATAAGAAAACATAAACTGAAATATGGCACAATATCAAAATGTCTGGCCAATTTTTTATGTCAATTTTATTATCATTTAAATATAATCATATAGGAGTAAATGTAAATATTCCCATGGATCAACAGTGAGTTTGTCAGCTTGAGTTGTTAGTTTAAGTTTTTTGTTTTAAACATGTGAACAAATTATTATTTAAATAATATTATTTTTTTAAATATTAAATAAATAATATTTTAAGTCATTAAAGTAAAGAAAAGTGAAGCACAATGATGCAAAATTTATATTTTTTCTATCTATTGTTTATAATGATAGTATAATAACTACTTGTATATAACTGTCAGTTTCAAATTTTCAACAGCTCTTTGAACACAGAACAATATCAGCCTGTGGTGCGAGTAATCTCACATGATCTATACATGACAATTTTTTTTTCACAGGTTTAAATAATTGTGCATATGTGGTTTATTTCAGACTATTCTCACAGCTTTGTAAGGAGAGACCTAAAGGGGATACCATGGTAGAGAATGGCTGCTTGTTCGTTTCCCTCCGCCCCTCAGCTAATGTGTAATCTACTGTAAACCCAAGCCTCCTTTCAACCTCGCTCTTTTTCTCCCTCTCTCAGCTGCCATTTTTGAATTCCTCAGAGGCTTAATCACAGCCTGGACTTTCACCTGGAAGACATTCATACTCAACATCAAAAAGGAGAATAGACTAAGCAGAGCGAACGGACAAAAATGTGCATGTTCGAGAGGCTGGAAATGTCTGAGGAAGTTCAAAGCGGTACCATGTGCTTTTCTAAACTCCCATTAACCTGAACGAGCAATGGTTAACCTGAGAGATGTAATTATTAACAAAACCACCCTGTTATGTGATTGTTTCCAACATCTCTGTTATGTTATTGATTGATCTTCTGCATTTAGGTCAGATGAAGTTTGTGGCAGACTTGTTTATGCCATAAACCTGAATTATACCTCTAAAATGAATACTTCTTCATCCAGGGAGTTTGCTCAACCAGTACAATATTAGCAGGGATGAAACACTGATCTAGCACACAGATGGACTTCATTTCAACCCAAATATGGTCAAAACACACACGCGCACACACAAGATTGATTGTTCTGTGAGAGCAAAGGTCCTATCAGCCAGTTCCCATCAGAAAACTACCTGAATTGTGTTGTGGTTTGTCTCAACATGAACATTCTGCCCTGTGATGAAACTTTAACAATCATTTGGCAACATGCGCCTTCAAGGGATAGTTCACCCAAAAAAAGCCAATCATTTACTCATAGACAAGTGGGTCCAAACCTTTAGGACTTAGGACATTATAAAAAGATATTTTGAAGAATGTTGAGTAGCTGATGACATTGTGATACGGTAGAAAAAAATGCCCATTCATTCATCAATTTTCATCCGCTTTTCCAGGGCCGGGTCGCGGGGGCAGCAATTTTAGGAGAGAACCCCAGACTTCCCTCTCCCCGGACACTTCCTCCAGCTCCTCCGGGGGGATCCCGAAGCATTCCCAGGCCAGCCAAGACATAGTGCCTCCAGCATATCCTGGGTCTTCCCTGAGGCCTCCTCCAGATGGGACATGCCTACAACACTAGGTAGGTGTCCAGGAGGCATCCAAGACAGATGCTCGAGCCACCTCAGCTGACTTTTCTCAATGTGGAGGAGCAGCGGCTCTACTCCGAGCTCCTCCCGAGTGACAGAGCTATCTATCAGGGTGCGCCCTGCCACCCTGCAAAGGAAACTCAGAGATCTTGTCCTTTCGGTCATGACCCAAAGCTCATAGGTGAGAGTAGGATTGTAGATTGATCAGTAAATCAAGAGCCTGCCTTTTTGATGCATGACGTAGGACAAGTAGACACATGTACATTGTATACTAATAATAAACTAATAAAATAGTAACGCCAAGCTAATTAGTTTTCTTGTTCATCACAGTCTGCTAGTAAACAAACTAAGAGGTAAGTAGTTCCCTCAAGATGTTTCTATTCTAGGCATGGGCCGGTATAAGGTTCTAACGGTATGATAACCTTGGATAAAAACATCACAGTATTGTGATTACTGCTCTAAATATATATTCTTTTTAAATGTCTGGGTAAAACAATAACTTTTTTCTGGTATGAACACAATGGCTGCATCCGAAATTGCATACTTCTATATTATATAGTACGCTAAAAACAGTTTGAAAGCTGAGAAGCATGTCCGAATTCATACTAATTAAAAAACAATATGATAAGTACCCAGATGACCTACTACTTTCTGTGTACCTTGAAAACGGTTATCATCCCATGCCTAGTCTATTCTCAGAGCCTTTGCTACGAATGCATCTTATGTCATGCATTACGCATCATATACGTCAGTCACACAAGATGTGCATTGGGCCTCCAACGGACATCAGTGATTTGAGTTTAGAATTTAAAATGTATTTTTAAATATATTAAAAACACCATGATCCGCTTCATGAGACATGCATTAACCTCTTGGCAACATAGTTTGAAGATGAATTTATGCACTTTTGGAAGCTTTGAAATAAAAGCCACTACACCATTTTATAGTAAGAGTCAGGATAACATTTTGAATTACTTAGATTATGTTTGTCTAACAGAAAAAATAAAAATAAATCACATACACAGAGGATGGCTTGAGGGCGATTAAATTATGGGGTGATTATAATTTTTGGGTCAACTTTTCCTTTAATGGCTTGGCTAATAGCTTTAGTATTCTTCAAAATATCTTCAACTATGTTCAACAGAATAAAAGAAAAGGTTTGGATCAAGGAAAGGGTGAGTAAATGACAGAATTAAAATTGTTGGGTTAACTATCTCTTCCAACACCTGTAGACCATTTCAATGTGGTCATGTCATTGGTCCATAAACATTTCCTGCTTGTTGTCAAACTATTTAATAATTATAGGCAGCTCAATCATGACTTAACATTAAAACAACTATCATCACATTATTTATCAATATGTGGCTCTTTTTTTGATTCTCGGAAGCTATGGAAATTAAAAATGTAAAACAGAAAACATGTTAGGACCGCTACAGGGATAGACGAGTCTTTCGCTGAGGTCCAGCTTCCAGCCTTCAGCGCCTAGACTGCATCTCTGCACAAGTTGTTTGGCCAGTGGAGAAATGGTTGTGCCCAACTGAGCCTGGTTTCTCTCAAGGTTTTTTGATTTTTTACTTTTGCCAATTGATGAAGTTTTTCCTCGCCGCTGGCGCATCGATGGATTGCTTTTCAGTGTTTGGACTCTCAGTAGTGATTATTAAACCACACTGAACTGAGCTAAACAGAACTGAGCTTAAACTTGAAAACTGAACCACACTGTTTCAATTTACTATGATTTTTTATGTGAAGCTGCTTTGACACAATCTACATGTAAAAGTGCTACACAAAAAAAGGTGAATTGAATTGTTAATGTTTACGTTCCTCAAAATGGTCCATATAAAAATGCATTTAAAAATCTAAGAGATGTGAGATGTATT